TCTTGAAATGATTGAACATAGACTGTTTCTTTTCTTTTTTTTTTTTTTTTAGTGACTCTATTCTTCCATCTTCTTTTGATGTGTTCTGCATTATTCAATGTTTTGTCCATTTCAAGTTGAGGCTTGAATTTTGTCTTCAATTTTTTTCAGCTTGTGAAATGCTGTGCATGTCTTCCCTTTGGCTTTCTAACACCAGGTCTTTGTGTATTTCATTATAATATTTGACTGTAATTGTCCTTTGTTCTTGTGTACCTGTCAGTGTCTTCATTTGCCTTGTCTTGTGCTGGCTTCTTTCATATTATATATGGCCTTTCCTTTCATGTGTCTTCCATATACTAAGGGATTCTCCCCACTTCCATCCCAGGTAACCACTCTGTGTGTAAACCTATTCTTAACTTTTTATGAAAGTCATTTTATACAGTATTTATCCTTTTGTGATTGACCTATTTCACTCATCATAATGTCCTCCAGATTCATCCATGTTATAAGATGTTTGATAGGCTCATCATTATTTATCATTGCATAGTATTCCATTGTATGTATGTATCACAATTTATGCAGTCATTCTTTGATGGACCCTCAGGTTGTTTCTAACTATTTGCTCTTGTTAATATTGCTGCAGTGAACACAGGTGGGCATACGCTTGTGTCACTGCTCTTTATATCTCAAGGAGTAGGATTGCTGAATCATATGGTATTTCTATTTCTAGCTTTTGAGGGCACACCAATCCATTTTCTATAATGGTTGTACCATTTTGCAATCTCCCCATCAGTATGTCCATGTTACAGTCTCCCTGCAACCTTGCCAGTATTTGTTGTTGTCTGTGTTTTTGATTAGTGCCATTCTTTGCAGGGGTGAGGTGATAGCTCATTGTAGTTTTGATTTACAGCTCTCATTTCTACTTTCATACATTTAACATTCTATAATCAGTATGGATCACTTTTCAAAGTTATTTTTAAATGAGTAAGTAAAAATGTCTTAGTTTTTTTATTTTCTGTAACTAAAAAAGTCTCAATAATTTTTCCCTTTTATAGCTGACTTATTAAAAGTATAAAAATGATGTGTTAATTAATGTCAAGATAAACCATAGTTTTGATCCTTTAAATTGCCATTTAATATATTCCATTAGGTATGACATAAAAGTTTGATTTTAAAAGTGATATATAATTGTTGTTGTTTTCTTTTTCTAAGTTTTCTATGTTGTGGTTTTTAGGGATTTTCCCTATATTATTTATTATTGTTATTCTTTTGTTTCAACTGGGAATGGAAAAGTCAGAATAGAAGCTGCATAAAGTAATTATGTGAGATAGCTGTTTTTCTGTGGCATTATTCAGAATTGCTAAAAATACACACAATAGATCTGAGGAAAATGTAAATTGCTGTAGTGCTCATTCTTTTAGTAATCCATGTTCCCCCCAAAGCCAAAGACCTTTGACTCATAAGTATACTCACAAGGGCATGCTAACCTCCCTCCTCCCTCCCCCAAATTTTCTAATTGCATTTTCAGATTGTGTAATTGTATTTGCCCTTTGTATACATAAATATACAAACCTTTCCCAAATAAATTTATTTTAGTGGCTGATTAATTTTTTGCATTTTAATTGGATAGTGATAAAAGGTCACAGGTCTTGTAAATATCCCTGGAAATTTAGGGATTACTAAAAGATTTGCATTAGCTTGATTCTCAATTTGGAAACAATTTACCTTTCACCCTCCTTCAACCCACTGCAAAACATTTGGAAGGATCTAGCCTAAGTGAGTCAAATCAGAAAATCTGAGGTTTGTTTTTCTTTAAAAATATAATGTGGGTGTTAGTATTTTTCAGACAATTAAAAAGGAACATCTAAGGGCTCCAGTTATAGTTTTTTTGCTGCTGATTAGGTATTCCTTGGTGGTGATTAGTGAATGTACAAATGCAATCATTTTGTAGGGTTTAATCACTCATATGAGAAGTTAGCTACCCAGAAAGAGAAATTGAAGCTTGTATAACTTCCATTAGCTTTATTATTTTTTTTAAATAGAGAAAGAAAAAATTTGGACTAAATTAGGAATATTAAGCCATGTAGGATAAATTGAAGTTTAAAAGAAATAACTTGGGGAAATAAATTTTTATGAAGTGTATTTTATCATACTGTGAAGTATATTTTCTGTAATATAGACAACCTCTGACTTGAGAATATATGGCTTCTACATACTGTCCTCTGGGTCACTTAGCAGCTGTAGCAGATGAGGGGGCAATTTCATCTCACTAACACTGTGTCTCTTCTCCGTAGGTACCATCTATTTTTAATCCCTGTGTGCAGTCTGCCCCCTCTAGTGCAGATGATAAAGAGCCCTTAGCTCATGTATAGCAAAATAACCCTTGATGCAATTTCAGGGAGAAAGGATAGCCCTACTGCTTATGTGTGCTCAGTTATTACATTCTGATCATCTGTTGCTGTGTATCAAATCACAGCAAAATTTAGAGACTTAAAATCATTTTGTGATCTTTCTTGTGGGAAGGTTTCAGCTGACACTTGTGATTCCATTAGTGGATGGTGGGTAGAGCTGTGTGTTAGTATTAGTTGGGTACTGGTAGTAACACCTCTGTTTTTATGTGGTCTCAGGGTCTCACTAGGTCATTTCTCTGCATGAACTAGTTTAAACTTTCTCCAGACAGTTGGGTGCATAGCTGGAAATTCAGGGTTCCAGAGCCCGGATTTCATATAGCAAGTTATAAGCCTCCTCTGATATCATATAAGCTGCTTCATGGCATCATTTCAGTCATGAGATTCTAGAAGGAGAACCTAGAGCCTACTTCTTGATGGCTGGAATGACAAAGTCATGTTATAAGAACATTTTGGAATAAAGATATTATTGGAAAGTATACCTTTGGAATATATACCTTTGGAAAGTATAACTTACCGTAATTAACTTCATACTGATGAAGAACAAATTCTCATCAATGGACCAATAAAAAACATCAAGAAAATATTGAAGCTGTCAGAGACTTAATTTTGCTTGGATCCACCATCAACACTCATGGAAGCAACAGTCAAGAAGTCAAACGATGTATTACATTAGGCAAATCTGCTGCACAAGACCTTTTTAAAGTGTTCAGGAGCAAAAATATGAGGACTAAGGTGTGCCTGACCCAAGCCATGGTATTTTCAATAGCCTCATACACATGTGAAAGTTGTACAACGCGTAAGGAAGACCGTAGAAGAATGGATGCATTTGAGTTAGGGTGATCGAGAAGCTTACTAAAGGTACCACGGACTGCCAGAAGAACAAACAAATCTGTGTGGAAGAAGTACAGCCAGAGTGCTCCTTAGAAGCCAGATGGCCAGGATGGCCAGGCTTCATCTCTTATAGTTTGGACATATTATTAGGAGGGACTGGTACCTAGAGAAGGCCATCATGCTTGGTAAAATAGAGGGTCAGTGTAAAAGAGGAAGACCCCTAACAAGATGGATTGGCCCACTGGCAGCAGCAATGGGCACTGTGACAGCAGCAATATGAGACATCTGTAGCAGGAAAAGACTCAGAATGACATTGATGGCTGGATAGGGAGCCAATGAGAAGGCTGGTGACAGTCACTTAGATGTGAAGGCTCAGCTTACCAAAATAGCATCACTTTGGTGTGATTATTTGTGGTTTCAAGGAGTCCTGGTGTGGCGCTGTGGGGTTAATGCACCAAGTCGTTTTGAACCGCAAAGTTGTGGTTCAAGCTCACTAGCCTGTCCTTGGAAACCCTCTGCAGGTCGCTATGGGTCAGAACCGACTCAACAGCATTTAACAACAACAACAACATTTGGTTTCAAATGTGAACACTAATGTTCTGGTCCAGCTCTCTTAGAGTGCCTCTCTCCCACATGGGGCTTAGGTCCCATGAGCGATTCTTTCTGATAGCCGCCAGGTAATTATTTGGAGAAATTGTTGACAGAATTTGGCTAAGTTTCAGGAAGACAGGATACAAATCTTAGTGTTTTAAAACTGATACTTTGTTGGCTTAATACAAGGGTGAGGAACGCCCGGCCCGTGGAATCAGTTCCGACTCATAGCGACCCTGTACAGGGTTTCCGAGGCTGTATATCTTTACGGGAGCAGAAAGCCTCATCTTTCTCCAGTGGAACAGCTGGTAATTTTGAACTGCTGACCCTGAGATTAGCAGCCCGATTTGTAACCACTGTGCTACCAAAGCTCCTTTTGGGCCATATGTTGAAGCTGTCAGAGACTTAATTTGTTGTTGTCAAGTGCTGTCAGGTCAGTCTCGACCCATAGTGACCCTGTATAGGGTTTCCGAGGAGCAGCTGGTGAGTTTGAACCACACTCCTTGCAGTTCAAATGGCTTTGCAGTCTGGTGCATTAACCCACAGCGCCACACTGGGACTCCTTTGGGCCATATGTTGTTGTTGTTGTTGTTGTGAAGTGCCGTCCAGTCGGTTCCGACCCATAGCGACCCTACATAATGTTTCCAAGGAGCGACTGTTGAGCTTGAACCACCGAGCTTGTAGATCAAACGGCTTTGCAGTCTGGAGCATTAACTCACAGCGCCACACCAGGACTCCTTGGACCATATAAGGCCCATTAAATCATTTGGTCTGGCCTCATTGTCAAGGCAACTGAAGTTCCAGCCATCACATTAGAGTTGAGTTAATTTAATGCTTTACCAAATATCACAGGTTAATTTTTAAGTTGATAATTTTGTATAACCTGCCAGCCATGTTACACATTTTGGCAGAAGAAAGGTTCCCCACCCCTGGTTTAATATAAGGGGGCTTCAAAAAGTTGGCAGAATAATTCCATTGTCTTTTCATTTAATTTTTCACAAACTTTTTGAAGTTTCCTCATATATGTTTATTGTTCCAAATTGACTTCTACATGAGTTCTGGTTTTTGCTCTAATCTCATATTTAAGAAAATGTTCAAAAAGAAAAAAAAAAAAAAAGGCTAGATCGTACCTCTGAAGCATCCCTTGTTTAATAAGACAATCTGTGTTTCTATGTGTTTGGATTGTAGGAGTTCTGCAATACGGTACAGCTAGACTCTGGAATTGATTACCGGAAAAGGACTCTTCCTGCTGCAGGAAAACTCTATTACCTGTAAGTTTTCTTTCGCATTTTCATTTTCTATGTCTGTTACCTAATAATTAATGAGGAACAGATGAGCAAAATAAACAAGGTAATTATCAGAACATGAAAGGCTAATTCTGAAGTCTGCAATTTCTAAACTGTACAATGTTATAGTGTTAATTTCTTTAAACTGTGTATTTTGCCATTCACATTTGCATCTTGGATGTGTGATTGGATGAAACCCTAATTAGTTTTTTTGGGGAGGAGTGATGACAGATCGTTAGTAAGTAATGAGTATCCTCTTATAAGAGACTTTAGTATTAAAAGAATATCTATTTTGTACTAAGGTAATTAGTTATTTGTGGACAGTGTTTGAGAAGTATGCCATTCTCATTACCTAAAAATTATTTTATTTTGTCAGATGATATGTTTGTGTTTATTCATTGTTGACTTCAATATATAACTGGTCTAATATAAGTATATATCCAAATAAAACTGTGTATGCTTGTCTTTAACAAGCTAAGTCTCTCCTAGTCAGGGGAAATTTGCAATAATAAATATATTTGGCACATACAGTTAATGCTGAAAAATATAACTTGTTTGAAAATGTCATTTGTGATAACATGAAAAGGAAAAAATGCTTTGCAAATGCAAACACTTGTTTAGGAGATGGCGGCAATGTTTGGCACACAGTGGGTGCTCAGGAAGTAGATCTATCTAAGGGCTAATTGTGATTGTACTAAAAGGTATGTTTCTGGTAATTTAAATTTTGATGACAGTGTACATATAAGAGGTTCAGAAAAGTTCTTGTCTCTGCCACCTTGTAAGCAGAAGTACTTTACTGTTTTTAAAGCAGAAATTAGCTAGAAAAATCACATAATTAAAATTGCATACATTACACTGTACCAAGGGGACCATTTCAGTTTATTATTCAGATTTTGATGATTATTATAGGAGGTTCTTCATCTCCCTTTAAGTACTTTGTCTTTAAAGTACTTTATAATTAAAAAAAAAAAAAATTCTCATAGCACTTTTCTTATGCTTTAACGTGCACTTGTTTTTTAAGCTTCTTTTATGTTTGTGTTTTCTGGTTTGTTTATTTTTTTGATATTTGCAACCTTTTCTTGATTCTTTTGCTATTTTTCCATCTATCAGATATGTATTATTTGTAAGTTAATTTTGTTATAATGCTCTGTATCCTTTTCCAAAGGGTTTAATCCCTTGCACCCTCAGTTTTCCCACAAAATATACACTTATGTGGGAGACTTAAAACACTTTTCTAATTGGAATTCCTAAAAGAAAAATGGAAGTTTAAATGTAAACCATGAAATTAGATTCGTGAAATTAGAGAGGTCTCACAGGCATTTATAGGAAGTTAGACAGTTGCCTTTTCTTGAAGGATGGTCATTTTCTCTCTCTGGCCTACCCTGTCTTGCCCTTTCTTCTTCCTGATAAAAGGAATACAATTCTAACACAGTGAAATTCCATTTTGTACTAAAAACATGTACTGGGGACAAATAGAATCAAACAATGTCCCAGAGTCCAGGAAACTAGACTCTACAAAGTGTACCACAAAACTCTGGAACAGCTTTCATAACGACAGATAAATGCATCTAATTCTGAAGGTTTGTTCATTCATTTAACACCAATCGCTTGACGATAGTGTGATAATCAAGAACAGTGAGTCTGGGGACACACCTCCTCAGAGGATAAAACAGATATGTATCTCTGAGGAAGGTGGAAGAACAAGGTAGATAGGGGAACACTGAGACAGGTTTGCATGTACTTAGTGGACAGAGGTAAATAGTGATGCATGCTCAACCTTGGAACAACAGGGCTCTGGGATACAGGGATCTAGATATAGCTTGAAGAGGGGAAATAATACTAAAATGCTTGACTGTCTTATGAATATTAGTTTCCCTTGCCTATTACTGTAAAACAGAGGTGAGACATTCCCACTAGAAAGGACAAGCAGACCAGCCTGGAACAGCTATATAGTGACAGAAGATACATTTTCAAAGAAAGATCATCAGGAAAAACCCCAAACAAAAATGTCAGCATGACTGGCTACTACAAGAATAAGCAAGCTGTTCGCCAGGAAACCATCAAGACTAGCAATCAAGTTCCTTCAGGACAAACTCCCCTCTAAGACTGAAACTCAAAGGGGAACACACAAACAAGCATGTAAGCTTGCTGGCGACCACATTGGTCTACTGGTGAGTGGAAGAGGGGGAAAGTCAGCAATGAAGAAATGGGCTGAGTTCAACCCCAATCCATTGACTCCTGTTGACCTGGAGATGAGAGAGAGAAGAGGAAGGGCTGGTTGGTCCAAAGTGTGGTGAGACCGGAGGACACTTGAGCCCATGGACAAGGACATAGCCACAGAGGGCTAGAGCTGAGAGTGTAGCATCCAGCTTATATGAAGTGAGGGGAGATGCACAAGAATACCCAAACTTGTGTACAGTACCCTTTTGACCTAGCCTGATGGCTCGATAATCAGAACTTGACTAGAAGATTACAAAAAAAAAAAATTTTTTTTCTTTTGGATAAAGGAAACAAGGGTAAATTGCTACAATTTGATGAACCTCACCTATACTCAAAAAGGTGGTTACTCTAAATACCAACAGAGATGGAAAGAGTCTTCACATCAAGTATCAATGCTATCACCTCTGTACACAGGGTAGATAGGGACAGGCAACTTAGACATTTGCTACCTAAAATGACGGGACGATAAAGCACCAAGTGACTGACTTACAAGGTTTCAAGAGGGAGTTCAGTTTAAGATTATTGGGGGAAAGGAAGAGTCCCCACCTAATAGATTTCATCTTGTCTAGATAGGTCTGGTGAAAAGAGATGGGGATAAGATTCTTACGATTCAATAATGAATAATTGTAATCATGACTAATTGTGACTATCATAATTGTACAGGTAGAAGTTTAGTAACAAGAATAGGGAGTGGTTAACCTTACAGCCCAGAAACAGAGGACCCTAGGACCATCAAGGGAGAAGCGCACAAGCAGAATGCAAGACCTTATCCAGAGAAGCAGCGACACCAGAGATGGAGGAGAGGGGGAGCAGCTGAGGACTGTAGATTCATGGGAAGAGAGGAACTAAGAACTAGTGGCAAGGACACAGACTTGCAGAATGTGCCCTTTGGAGATGTAAATTGTTGTATATGCCTGAGTGGTTGTTTTTTTGTTGTTGTTTTAAAAAAAAAAAGCTAAAATGGATACAGAGATATGTTAACCGGTGGTACATGGAGGGGATTATAATCATTGTATGAAACAATGTGTATGATTTGTTGAATGTAAAACTGATGATCTGCCCTGTAAACTTTCACTCAATCTACAATAAAAACCTTAAATTTAAAAAAAGTAGATACCCATATGGGGTGCTGGTGTGGCACTGTAGGATAAGCACTTGATCACAAGGTCAGTTTGAAATGCAAGGCTAGTGATTCAACCCCATCAGCTGCTCCTTAGAAACCCTATACCAGATCACTATGAGTGGGAACTTTTAAACTATCTGTCCAAGCATCTAGATTTGGTTCCTGAATATCTCAATTTTACTTGAGCCCCAATCGCCTGGAAAGAAAAAATTCTAGCCTTTCTCCAGGGGAATACCAAGTGCTCATACAAGCAGAATCCTGTATATGACTTTTAACGAAATAGAAATATTCATTATCCCAGTGTTTTAATAATGTAACTACACCAACCACTAAAGCCAGTGATGATGAAATTGAAGAATTCTACCAACTTCTTCTGAGTCCTGGTATGGTAACATCAGATAAGCACTGGACCAGAAGGTTGATTTGAACCTCAAGGTCAGCGGTTTGAACTCACCAGTAGCTCCTAGGAGCCTCTATACAGATCTCTGTGAGTAGGAATTGACTCAACCGCACTTAACAACAACAGTTTCTTCAGTCTGAATTTGATCAAACATGGAATCAAGATGTATTGATAAGTACTGGTGATTGGAAGAATTAGTAGTTGGAAAATATGGCCTTGGTGATAGTAATGATGCTGGCATGATAGAATTTGGCAAGACCAATGACTTACTCACTGCAAATACCTTTTTTAAACAACATAAAAGATGACTATACACATGGACCTCACCAGATGAATACACAGAAATCAAATTGCCAACTCCAGCATCATTTCTATCACCAAGACCATAATTTTCAACTAATGAACCATCCTGTTTGTATCCAACCTTTGCATTCCAATCACCAATAATTATCAATATACCTTGATTGCATGTTTGGTCAATTTCACACTGAAGAATTTGGTAGAATTCTTCAATTTCATCATTACTGGTTTTCGTGGTTGGTACATAAGTTTGAATACTAGTGGCACTAACTGGTCTTCCTTGTAGGCATATGGATATTATTTTATCAGAGACAGCATTATACTTCAAAATAGATCTTGAAATGTTCTTTTTGTTGATGAATGTGATGCCATTCCTTTCATATAACCGTCAGATTCAAAATGGCCAATACTAGTCTATTTCAGCTCACTAATGCCTAGGATATCAATCTTTATGTGTTCCATTTCATTTTTGACAACTTCCAACTTTTCTAGTCATACTTTATACATTCCATGTTCCAAATATTAATGGCGGTTTACAGCTGTTTCTCCTCATTTTGACCCCATGCACAATGTAATTAAACACTGCCTAATCTTGAACCATCTCCATGGTCAGTTGGGAATTTGACCCCTGTGATCTATAGCATAAATATCATTGATTTTCAGAAGTAGCTTGCTAGGCCTATCTTTCTAGTCTAGCTTCTTCTGGAAACTCAGCTGAAACCTGTTCAGAACCATAACATCACCCAGGCCTCCAGTGACAGATAGCGGCTGTCTGTGCATTAGATGTATTGGCTGGAATTGAACCCATCTCCTGTATGGAAGGCAAGAATTCTACCATTGAATCACCAATGACAAACTAACAGGTTCATCTGGTTTTGTTTCATGGATGTTGGCAAAAGACACAGAGATCTGGCCAAGAGACAAAATATTTTATTACTCTCT